CGTCAAACAGAACTGTCAAGGATCCCCACCCTCGAGTCCTTTTTCCGCCCACCGTGCATGAATACATGGATAGCATTATGCTCCTTCCTTAGTCTTCTTATTCAGAGCCTACACCACAAATAGTTAGAGTTATTACTCTTCCATACAGTTAAAACACATGTGTTGCTTGTAGTGGTTTTTACTTTTACACAACATGTCAAGAGCTGAGAACGTTGTAGTAATATATTTCTGATTAGACCATTCCGGGTAAAACAATTCATCAAAGTCGTAATTTAAAGGATTCGAATTATTCCGTAAATCTTACGTAATTAGGAAAGCTATTCGAGAAAGTTCTAGAAGTTTGATTTAGACTTATGCCAAAAGTTCCAAAGGAATTTTGTCAGACACGCCCAAACTGGCTTTTAAATTTCAATTTACTATTATACCCGTATTAATCGAGGCTCTTTCAAACATTTCCTGCACAGCGAAGTGAGATTCAAAACGAAATTATTCTGATTTATTTGAAATGGAGATTTATTTGTAAAGAATTGTGCAATTAGATATACCATAAGTTACTGGCAACCGTTGGACCAACAAAGGATTAAAAATAGACGGAAAATATCTTAAAAATCTAAGATTCGCTGAGGACATAGTCCTAATTGCCAATAGTCCTGAAGAACTTCAAATACAAATTAATGAACTAAATACAGCCAGCAATAAAGTGTGTCTCAAAATGAATTTAGCAAAAACTAAATAACACAAGATAACACAAAAATTTTCTAATGTCATCGTGGCCGCTATGCTTGCACTTGGGTCAGGAAAGATCATTAAGTAACAATAACAGTTGATGGACCTACAACCTCTGCAAAACCGTCTCATATACTAGCTTTTGTCAAAGCCCTTAGGCTGTGTTATTACTATTAATTTGTGTGTATATATATATATATATATATATAGAAAGGGTGGATATATATATATATATATATATATATATATATATATATATATATATATATATATATATATATATATATATATATATATATATATATATATATATATATATATATATATATATATATATTATTTTTAATTTTTTCTTGGCTTTAGGTCAGGTAAAAATGAGAAAAACGGTTTTTTTATATTAAATATTTCATTGACGTTTCGACCTGGTAGGGTCTTTATCAAAATTTATTACTTGAACGTAGATTGTTTACTTATTACAACTTCAGTGTTGTAAAATCCGTTAAATGTGTATGTCTCTTTACAAAAATTGTGACGACTTTATTGATATGTTTATGTTATGTGTGTGGAAACCAATGTTTCAGAATGAAAATGACAAAATTGTAATAAGTAAAAAATCTACGTTCAAGTAATAAATTTTGATAAAGACCCTACCAGGTCGAAACGTCAATGAAATATTTAATATAAAAAAACCGTTTTTCTCATTTTTACCTGACCTAAAGCCAAGAAAAAATTAAATAAAATATATATTGAGAGGTCAAAGAAAAGAATAAAAAATATATATATATATATATATATATATATATATATATATATATATATATATATATATATATATATATATATATATATATATATATATATATATATATATATATATATACAATCTACAATCTAATGTGAGCGTACTTTAAGGAACCTCTGTTTGTATGGCTGTTTTTCATATCCTATTAGCGTTTTTTACTATTATCTTTAATATATACACATTTAAATTTGTTTTTCTTCATTATTTAAAAATATGTTTCTTTTGTGACCTCAGTCCCCACTAAATCTATATCAATGATATCAATGATACTAGCTCCAACTCAATAAATGCACAATAATTATTCTCCCGTGGTCTCTAAAGGCCATTAGAATTATTTTTCAACGATCAGAGAATCTTCTATAATATTTCACATAGTTTAAAATAATATTTTACTACCTATAGTATAAATTATTATTTAAACTAAAATAGGTACACATCATAAAATTTCAAACTAATTAAACTAAAGTTTATAAGAAATTCAAACTCATAAAGACCCAACACGGAAATATCAGTTAGAAACCATCGGCATTAAACCATCAAATCGTATTATATCCAGGGCGTGCACTTAGTCTTTTTTTGTTTTGGGCGTTAATGGGTTATAAAAGAACTTTTCAAATTAATTAATTTAATTATAAAAAAAATATAGGAATCTGGATATGCCACAAAGAAAATTAGGAAAGTTTGGTTATGTTGAAGACTCCCAACTAGCAAACATAAAATGTCACTGACCCTAAAGTATAGTTCCTAGGCCCACTCTGCTATTTAAAATGTTACTCTACAGGGTGGCCCATCGAAAACGTTCCGCAAGGCATAACGGCCAGGGTATTTTTTTTTGTCAAAAAATCCAAAACCACGTCAATTTTGTTTGTGAGGGGGACAACTTTTGCCCCAAAAACGATTGCAAAATCTTCAACCCTCTAAGCGGGGGTGTCATCCCCCAACTTTTTTCAAATGGGAAGGGGGGTCAAGTGGCGCCGCAATGAAAAGAGCTTTCTATTCTCTATATTTCCACGCTTCGTTTTTGAAAATCGGTGGAGTCATTGAGAAAATAGGAAGGATTGAAATTTGAAAAGTTTATTTAAACATTTATCAAAGTAAATGATAATGATAAATTCCTTCGACAAATTTGCTGTTTTTTCTTATTATTTCTAGACGTTTACGCATTTTTTTACTTGCTGGTTGAACGATCAGGTGCGGTATTGATTGAACGATCGATAAGGTTGAACGATCAGGTGCGGTATTTGTTAGATAGCTGTTCTGTGACTTGTTCGTTGAAGTTCTTCTCAATATCGTTAAATTCTTAACGATAATTGTTTTAACGGTTTTGTGTATGCACCTCGTGAAAACCCATGGGGTTGTCCTCAGCCCAGTACCGACAGTTGTGCCGATTAACTACATCGTTCAAAAATAAAGTACGCTCATCCGAAAAACACACATTAAATAGGAAATTATTATCATTCGCCACTCGTTCACTAATAGTTTCACAAAATTGCAAGCGACGATCAAAATCGTCTTCGTTAAGTTCTTGTACCAACTGAATTTTGTAGGGGTGGAACTTGTGTTTTTTTTTAAATATCCTTTGGACACTTGTACGATTCACGCCGGTCTCATTGGCTAATTTTCTTGTACTCAGCGTACTATCCATGGCAACTTGGCCCAATACGAATACCTCCATAGCTTCATTTACTACAGGCTCTGCCTCTTTTTATTCATAACGGAACCAGTTTCGCGAAATTTTGCTACTAACACGCGAACAATTTTGCCATAAAGGTGTTTGTCAGGATAGCGTTCGTTGAATATGTGCGCAACCCGATACATTCCTTATTATTAAAATAAAGTTCGATTATTTCCACTTTTTCTGCAAGTGAGTACACCATAATTGTTAAGAAGTTTTACGATATTGAGAAGAACTTCAACGAACAAGTCACAGAACAGCAATCTAGCAAATACCGCACCTGATCGTTCAACCTTGCAGCAAGTGAAAAAATGCGTAAACATCTAGAAATAATAAGAAAAAACCTCAAATTGGTCGAAATAATTTATTTTTATGATTTACTCTGATATATGTTTAAATAAACTTTTCAAATTTCAATCCTTCATATTTTTTCAATGACTTGACCGATTTTCAAAAACGAGGCGGGGAAATATAGAGAATAGAAAGCTCTTTTCATTGCGGCGCCACTTGACCCCCCTTCCCATTTGAAAAAAGTTGGGGGATGACACCCCCGCTTAGAGGGTTGAAGATTTTGCAATCATTTTTGGAGCAAAAGTTGTCCCCCTCACAAACAAACTTGACATGTTTTTGGGTTTTTTGAAAAAAAAAAATACCTTAGCCGTTATGCCTTGCGGAACGTTTTCGATGGGCCACCCTGTATAAGGAATAGTCAGTTTGAAGTATATTTCGAAACTGATCGGTTAGTGCCTACCTACCATAAAAATGGAAAATAAACATCCCGATTGCAAGTCGCAAACATGTAATTTAAAGAAGGGACTGGAATTACCCGCCTAGACTCTTCGAAAATTACACCATGAAAGATCAAAAACTTTATAGTAACTTTTCAAAGTAGGGTGCTAACAAGTGCTACCATAATGCCTCCATTAAGTTTTTGTTACTTTATAGTAATAATTGAAGTTACGGGGTAGTTGCGGCCACGACATCTAGTTACTTCTAATTTATAGTAGCATTGAAAGTAGCAAAATGGTTACTGCTACCTGTCTAGGTCACTATAAAATAGCCGTCACTCATCCATTGCCACTAAAAAGTCACGGGCGTCAAAAACGGCTACTTTATAGTGACCGTAACTTAATATACCCTAATAAATGTAATTGCCTCAGAATGCATCGTGTGCTGCTCTGTTTTAGTGTTTTCTTTTACTTGGTTTCAAGATTTATTAAAATTTTGTAAAATGCCTAAGGTGAATAAAAAGAAATTTGGGTATTCTAGTACTTTCTACCGAATAATTGAACAAAATCGGCTCGCAGTGATTCCTGCGAGCCGATGCATCATCAGAAACAACAACTACATCTTTCTATCATCCTACTGATTAACATCATAAATCAGATAGTGACTGAGACATTTTTGAAGCTGTTTCTGTAGATGAGTGTAGTGTTAGTTCATCTAAAACTGAATCTCAGAGGAGAACTAATTTGAGAACCAACAACAATATAAAACAAGAGCTAACATAGTGGGCGTTAAAATACAAATTTCTATAAAAAAATTTATAGGAATCTGGATATGCCACAAAGAAAATTAGGAAAGTTTGGTTATGTTGAAGACTGGGTACTTGCAACGAGACCTGGCATAAATAGACACACTCAAAAAAACTTTAACGACATGTCTAGAGGCAATGGGAAAAAAATTCCACAAATGGAGATTTCTACTAACGCCACCAAAACAAAAGATGACAAATAATAAGGTATTAATATAATTCCGAGTATAATTCTTAAAGACAATGATAAACTATAATGTTACCTTAATTTGGGCAATTCGCAGTAAACCCATTCTGAGACATCTTCAACAGTAATTTCTCTATGCGTTGGTGTCAGATCTAGCTTATTTCCGGCTACTACGATGGGTATGTCTTGGTAGTCGATGCGTTGCTCTCTGATTTCCTCGAAACATTGCTTTACACTCTCGAAGGACGGCGCAGAGGCTACGGAGTAGACTAGGAGGAAGGCGTGAGCTGTGGCGATGCACAGGCGACGCATTGCAGGAAACTGCATGTCACCTGTCAAAGTGAAAAATCGATGTTGACAGTTCTCAGTCAAGTGCTTTATCGATCGTAATTTCCGGATAGTAATTTACTGGAAGCTCCGTTGAAGTATAGTCAAAATGCAAAGCGAATTTGAATGCCAGCAGTCACTAGTAAGCTCCAGTGAATGTTGGCGTTCCCTAGTACAATCCAGTAAATGTTAGCCTTAACTAGTAAAAGTTCGTTTCAAAATTAGTTGTCGATTTTTTTTACTGACGTAGTGTTATAAAATCAGCGAATGCAAGCTTTTTCTAGTAAATATCAACATTCACTGATTCCTGGCTTTTACTGCAACATATATTAAGTTAAAATATATACAAATATTTTCTAGATTTTCTAAATAGCATCTGTAAAGCATTAAATAATTCTTAACTATAACTAAAAGTTCAATCTTTTATATTGATTAAATAATTTTTGCAGTTCACTATAACAAGTCATGCAAAGACAGCTATCAATATTATCTAATTATTCCTATGACAAAATCTTACCTGCGGTATCCAATATATCCACCTTCAACGTCATGTGTCCCAAATCGTACTCCTTGTTATATAAATCCTCCACAGTGCTCCTGTACTTGTTGCAGTAAGTGTTGAACAGGAACCTCTTTATAATGCAGCTTTTCCCAACCCCTTGGCCTCCTAAAATCACCAGTCTTATCCGTTCGTAATCACTCATAGTGGACATTTTGGTCTCTTTTTGGTCCCTGTGTCGCGATTAAATATTCATAGATACGGTAACTTCACTAAAAACTCCGGCAAAAAACTTCTCGCTCCGGGAGTAGTTAGAATTTAATTTGACAGAGCTGGCTAGTCGACGGAAAAAGTTATCCGTTCTGAAGAAACTTGTTGCGTGAAGGTGTATTTTTTCTTCTGTTGTTAGATTATTTAATTTTGGGAGATGTTAGTAGCTTCCTGAAACAACGAAATTTATTTATGAGTTTTTAATTAATGATATAATGAACTAAAGTATTACTTTTTTTATTATTTTTTTTTAAATATTCTATTGGCACTTTAGTAACGTCTGTGTGGTTGTGTTACTCAGTGAGGCTTTAGTTTCATTAGAGCGGTAAGTGTTCTCTTTTATATTTTAAATATTTTAAATAAAAGTCCTATCGTATTGTGGTTAATTTGTTGTGTTGTCAAATCAAATTCCCCTGTGTGAGATCTCTGGTGCGGTTATCCTTTAAAACAGCGGTTTCCAAATATGTTCAAGAAGATAAAAAACAAAAAGAAGAAAAACATAGTAACAAACCGAGGCATGAAACTGATTATGGTAAAGTCCAATTGTTTTTAATATTAGGCATTTTAATTAATTTGATATACGTCGTTTTTAGAACCGGAACAAGATGCTGAGACCCGTCTTCAAGCCCTCAAATTCGACAATTTAACATCGGACCCACTTGATGCGACTTGGAAGGCCTGTTGCAAATTCGTCTAGACGTTATCAAGTCTAACGATACTGCTAATATAATGAAAAAATGGCCTTTTTGTAGAAATTTTTTAGGATATAGACTAGTAAATTAATTTTCTTATTATAATTTGCTTTTAAAATTAATAATAACAGTGCCATATTCTCTTCGTCGATTCATTTTTTTTAATTTTTAACTTGTATGTGCTTTTAACTTGTGTTTGAATAAATTATTATTAGTGTATTACACTTGTTTTTTATTGCCCTATTATATATATATATATATATATATATATATATATATATATATATATATATATATATATATATATATATATATATATATATATATATACATATATATATATATATATGAAATGAACTTCTTACAGCTTTAGTGTATATTAATAAATAATATTTTCTTGCCTTTAGCTGTGTATTTTTTCTAATTTCGAAAAATCGAAAGTAGAGAAAAATTTAAAAAAAAAAAAGTAAAAGAATTGTTTTGCTTGTCGTAGGGGGGAACCAAGCTCCACTCCCCACAACCGGTTTCTGGGCCTACCCTTCATCAGGTTGGGCTGTCCAGGGGCTGGTTCTCACCGATACGGCAAGCAAAATTTCTTCTATATCTGCAGACGATGTCGTAAAGTGTCGGTGAGATATTAGTGCATCTCCCGTCAAAAGATGGTAAAGAGCGTTTTTCGGCCCGCTCAAATATATGAAATGAACAAAATTCTTACAGCTTTAGTGTATATTAATAAATAATATTTTCTTGCCTTTAGCTGTGTATTTTTTCTAATTTCGAAAAAATTTAAAAAAAAAAATAAAAAGTAAAAAGAAAATTGTTTTGCTTGTCGTAAAGGGGGGAACCAAGCTCCACTCCCACAACCGGTTTCTGGGCCTACCCTTCATCAGGTGGGCTGTCCAGGGGCTGGTTCTCACCGATACGGCAAGCAAAATTTCTTCTATATCTGCAGACGATGTCGTAAAGTGTCGGTGAGATATTAGTGCATCTCCCGTCAAAAGATGGTAAAGAAAAATATATATATATATATATATATATCTTCTTCTTCTTCTTCTTATTCATTTTTAAGATCTCGCGATCTGTTAATTTTGATGGGTCCTCTGTAACAGTTCTTGGGAGGTGGACTGCCAGCTGTCCTTCCATCTCTTAGGTGGTCTTCCAGGTTCTCTTTTCCCTGTTGGTTTCCCTTCTAATGCAATTCGTGGCAGTCTTCTCTCATCCATTCTTCTCACGTGGGCGTACCAACCTCTTTTTCTTTGTCTGCCCCACCTTACTATGTCTTGCACCTCACATTGTTCCCTGATGTCGGTGTTCTTAATTCGGTCTCTTCTTGTTTTTCCCATTATTGTCCTGAGCGTTTTCATCTCGGCTACTCGTAGCATGCTCTTCGTTTTGTTGGTTTCCTCTCTGGTTTCTATTCCGTATGTCATGATTGGTCTGATACAAGTCTTGTATATCTTTACCTTGCTATCCCATCTCATGTATTCGTTCGCCCATATTGTTTGCCTTAAGCAGCCCGACATGGCAGTCGCTTTGTTGATCTGGCTTCTTAAGTCCTTCGCTGGATCATGGTGGCTCGACAGATCCATACCCAGGTATTTGAATTGTGAGACTTGCTCGATGATTTTGTCCTGAACTACCAACTTACATCTCACGGGGTCTTTAGCAAAGGTTATGCTTTTCGTTTTTTCTGTAGATATGGTCATATTCATCGCTTGACTGACCTGGTAGAATCTGTGAAGCTGTTTCTGCAGGTCGTCCTCCGTTTCCGCGAAAATGGCTGCGTCATCGGCGTAGCATACCATGCTGATTCTTTTCTGTCCCATTCGGTATCCTATATTTAGTGATGATACTTCCTCTATAATTCTGTCCATTAAGAGATTGAACAGAAATGGGCTAAGGCTGTCACCTTGTCTGATGCCTCCTGGTGTCGGTATCTCTTCCGTATAAGTGTCTCCTGCCTTTACTCTAGTCCTGTTGTTCATGTTTAGGTTGTGGATCGCTCTTACAATGGTGTCTGGCGCCTCTCTCGCCATTAGTATATTGACGATGTCGTAAAGGCGCACCCTATCAAATGCCTTGGTGAGGTCGATGAAGCAGACGTATGCTGGTGTATTAAATTCAATTGACTTTTCTTTTAGTTGTTTGATAATGAATATGGCATCGGTCGTGGATCTGTTTCGTCTGAAGCCTTGTTGTTCTTCCTTGTTTGTTATTTGTGTTTCAAGTCTCTCCTTCAAAATACCCGTAAAGAGTTTCATGCTTGTGTTCAGCAGTGTTATGCCTCTGTAGTTGTCTGGGTTCGTCTTCTGTCCTTTCTTGAATATAGGGATAGTTATACTTTTGTGCCATTCCGTAGGTATTTCCGATGTTTCTAAGATTTTGTTGTAAAGGATTTTTAAATGTTTTCCTAGTTCAGGTCCGGCGTATTTCAGAAGTTCATTTGGTATAAGGTCTGTTCCGGGGGCTTTTCTGTTTTTCAATTTTTTGATTTTTGCCATTACCTCTTCTTCGTTCAGTGTTATTTGATGGTTTGTCTCGTAGTTTTCGACGTTTATGACTTCTTCGGTGTTGTAAAGTTTCCTGAAGTAGCTCTCCCATACATCCTTAGTAACTCCTTTTGTTTGCACAAACTCATTTACTGGCTTTTTCCTGTTCTTAAGCATCTTCCAGACTTTCTTCTGTGCTCCGTATAGGTCGTGATCCATATCGCTTGTAAATTTTGCCCAGTAATCCCGTTTTATGGCTTTGATTCTGGCATTGATTCTGTTTCTCACTTCTGTATATTCGACGCGTTTTTCTGTCGTTGGTGAGCTCCTGTATCTGAGATAGGATTTCTTTTTCTGTTGAGAAAGTTCTTTAATTTCGTGACAGAACCAGGGTTTTTTGCTATTATTGGTTCCATTTATGTTGACTTTTCTTTTGCCAATGGATTCTTCGGCTGCCTCTACGATACACGATTTGATTTTATTCCAGCAGCTCTCCACATCGCCTTCACTCATGTTAAGTCCTTTCAGTTTGTTTGTTAATCGGTTCTCATACAGGTTTCTCGTGCTATCATCTGTCAGTGATTCAATGTTGAATTTTTCGATGGTTACTGGGGGTTTTTTGGTCCTGTGGGGCTTTTCCATGAGCATTTTACACAGTAGTAGGCTGTGATCTGTGCCTATGTTCGCTGAGGTGAGTGCCCTTACATCTATTACTTGTGATGGTATAATTGTCCTGTTACTTATTACGTAGTCAATCATCGACTTTTGATCCCTGGTGTTCCTAAATGTATATTTATGTTGCTCTTTGTGGGGGAAATACGTGTTGTTTATTCGTAGCTCGTTTCTTGCACAGAAGTCTATCAGGAGTTCTCCATTTTCGTTGGTTATCTCTTCATTGTATTTTTGTTTTATACCTGGTATCACTTCCCTGCCTATTCTGGCGTTCAAGTCCCCGAGTATAATAATTTTGTCCGTGTTGTTTAGTTTATCTATAGTATTTTGTGTAGGTCTTGGTAAAATGTTTCGCTCTCCTCTATGGGTTTGCTTATATCCGGTGCGTATGTGCTTATTAAGTGTGTTTGCCTGTGGTTGATTTTTAGAGATACTTTAATGATTCTGTCGTTAATGTAGTCTATGCTTTCTATACATTGTTCGTATTTCTCGTGGAGTAGAATTCCTACTCCCGATTGTACCACTTTCTTTACTATACACTATATATATATATATATATATATATATATATATATATATATATATATATATATATATATATATATATATATATATATATATATATATATATATATATATATATATTCTCTCACATATTTGGCAAGTTGACATTTCAAATATGAAGGTTTAATAAATAATCCTATTTTAATTAAAAGTAAAGAAGTTATGAACGATAAACATGACTAATTTACTTTTAACTTTTTTTAATTACCTCTTTTCGAAATTTGTATAACACGGTAGATATTAAAATGATTATTTTTCCAAATAACGTGACCACCTCGTTCCATTGTTTTGTTCTGTTTTAAACTATTTCATTCTAAAAACACAGTTTTGTCAACTTAAACAAGGTCCAACCTACAAATACCGTATGATCGAAAAAAAAATGAGTCCATTTGGCTGAGAAATGACAATCAATGACATTTCCCATATAATTTTACATATAAAATGACAGCGATCTTCATTTCATAGTTTCAAGAGTTACTAATAGTGTCGACTTTTAAATGTATAAATAAACAGGTTATGAAATTATTTCATTGTATTAATGATACGGTTCGTTAATATAAGGATTTAGGTACTTT